ATCCCGTTGACCGTTATCTCCGCCGTCGAGCTACCTTTTTGCGTACAATGGAACTTTCCCGCGGATAAATAAATAAATAAATTCGATCGATAGCGGAGCAGCGTGGCGCGGGTCGCGTCTTATACGGAGACCCGGTTCGGGGTTTTTGCGACGGCGTTACACCGCCATAAATCGCGGCCTATGATGGGCTACATGTGTCGACGGCACGCCACGATTTCTTGCGAAAACGTGAGCCGCGAGCCAATGGGCCTGTCCTCCCCATCCATCGGTCCCCCGTGATTTTTACATCTTGTTTGCTTCCACGGTCTCGGAGTACGAGTTCCCCGCGAGTGACCGAGGCCTATATGGCGGTCGCGTTTTCGCGCCCCTCCTCCTGCCCCTCGTAACCCTCCCCCTCTCCCGCCCCCTCGTCATACTACGACCAACGGAGTTTGCATTCAACCAGTCGATGCAGTTTTTCGAGGATCGACGTCGATCCGCGCGCCACACGACGACGACGTCGTTTTACCCGGTCACGCTCGGCGGTAGCTATAATTCCTGGCGATGCTATCGCCCCTGGAATTTCACCGCGGACGACGAACAACGTCCGTCGTAAACTTGCGTCGCGATCATGTCGCTCGGACCCATCTCGAAGCTGACGAGTCGACGGCGCTCGTTTCGCGCGGATACGGAATCCAGTTTGCTCGAGATTCCGTGAAAACGATGCATGGAAAGTCGATTTTTAATTTTGTCGTCCGAGAAAAAGGGGGATTCCATATATTTTGGTACTTAATTTTTGTGTGAATTTTACATGAATTCTAATTTTATTTATCGATGAGTGTTTGCCCTTAAGATTCCATGAAAACGATGCATGAAAAGTCGATTTTTAAATTTGTCGACCGAGAAAAAGGGGGATTCCATATTTTTTGGTACTTAATTTTTGTGTGAATTTTACATGAATTTTAATTTCATTTATCGATGAGTGCTTGTCCTCAAGATTCCATGAAAACGATACATGGGAAGTCGATTTTTTATTTTGTCGACCGAGAAAAAGGGGGATTCCATATTTTCTGGTACTTAATTTTTGTGTGGACTTTGCGTGAATTTTAATTTCATTTATCGACGAGTGTTTGCCTTGCGACAACGCCTCCGCCATATTTGCACGGGCCAGATAAACCACAGAATGGCCTCTGCCCCGGGATTATCGAGCCTCGCTTTCCTCTTTCTCGAACTCCTCGATAACGATTTTTTCGCTCCAGGAATTGTGCTCGAGGCGAACTCTTATCTCCGAGTGTTTGACGATCGTAAAATCTTCGGGGAAAAGGATCGACACGCTTCGAGGCCTCCACCATTCTTGGTTGGGCAATGATCGATTCTGTATTTGGGTACGAAAAATTCTATAGAAACTTCTTGACCCGAATATAGTGTTTAATTTGACTCGATCGAACTGTGATGGGGGCGGCCATCTTGAATACCTCGAACGAGACTCTGACCGACTCTAGCTTTAACAACTGAATTATTTAACACGTCGACTCTTCGACATTCATTTTACAAACAGATGAACACCGTAACTAACGATTATTTATTGCTTCATTGCAAAAATATATATCTAGTATCTGCAACAAAGATGTACACGTTATAATCATTCCATGATTAATGACGAATAAATTAATACTTTCCAGGCGGTTACATACTAGTTATTGGTTAATCGCGACGTCTTGACGATCGTAATCATGCCCAGTGCTATAATCATAATCGATCAGATTAAATCGTCCCTGAAAGACCTGCTCGACGCGTTCCCGGGGCGACAGTTTCATCGGTTCTGACGGCCGGGGATTCCTCGTGGCGCGTTTTTGCGAGAAAAGCTCCCACCAGCCGTGTAATCCGCTCCGTCATGCCAGTCCCGTAGATGATGACGAATAATATCTGGAACAGGCGAAATTTAGACGAGACAGGTCGGGGAACCCGGGCGCGTTAACAGAGTGGAACGGCGTAAATCTTTGGCCTACCTTCGAGCGAACGCGACGTTCGTTCGTCCTAAGGTATACACGTGTATCCCCGATCCTGGAAAGGACTCGCTACCGTCGACCGCTTTTCGCCCCCGGGCTTCACCTTGGAACCGGGGATTAAGGGAAAATCGTTCCTTTCTTACCTCGCCTCGCCTTTCTTCCGGTCGTTTCGCCCAAATGGCCCACCCGAGCGCGGCGGCGGAAAACACTCGTGACGAATCGCGGATCTCGCTTCGAAATTGGACAGGGTCGATTATCTCTCCCGCGCGAAACGTTCCCTTTCTTTCGGACCACCGAGCACCCGGTTTGACGTCTCATTTCCACCCCGATTTCTCCACGCCACCTGGCGCACCTGGGGGGGGGTGTTTTTTTTTAAATCATCCTCGAAAGAAACGAGTCTTTGGAAGGAAATAAAAGTCGTTCGATGGGGGCGCTTCAATGGCGATCATGGGGCAGGATAGATTGGTTCCACTGTTTGGTAATTTGGGGTCGCGAATTTTTTGGAGCAGGCGCCAAATGGAAATTAAAAAATTTCAAATCGTCTTGAAAAAATTATTTTTGTTCGTGGGGGTCTATTACGATCATTTTTGGTGGATACACGTACCCTCGAAATCCTAACCATTTTCGAAAAAAAAATTCGAGTGGAGAGCAAATTTTTCGTGAAAATTAAAAAATTTTAAATCATTCTGAAAAAATTATTTTTGATAGCGGGGGTCTATTACGATTATTTTTTGTGAATACACGTACCCCCGAAATCCTATCCACTTTCGAGAAAAAAATTGGAGAATATGTAACATTCTTCGACAAAATTAAAAAATTTCAAATTGTTCTGAAAAAATTATTTTTGGTTGCGGGGGTCTATTACGATCATTTTTGGTGGATACATGTATCCCCGAAATCCTACCCACTTTTGAGAAAAAAATTCGGTAGTTGGACCAATTTTTTGACGAAATTGAAAAATTTCAAATCGTTCTAAAAAAATTATTTTTACCTAGGGGGGTTAATTACAACTATTTTTGGTCAATATATATACCCTCGAAATCCTAACCATTCTCGAGAAAAAAATTCCTTACCGAAAACATGATTTCAGGCCCGAAATGACACTCCAAAATGTTATGTGTATCTTTAAAACGCCATAACTTCTGAACGGATTGGACGATTTTGATGTTTCAAAATGCAAACAACGCATATTTTAGTGGAGAATATGTAGAAATTCTAAAAATATTCGAAAAGTTCTTCCTTAACCCCGTAAAGTGACAAAAACCCTATAAAAATGTTTCAATTTTCAAACAGTCATAACTCCTACAATAGTGAAAAAATTTCAATGAAATTTTGGGGAGAAGTAGACCTCCTATATACCTACAAAAAAGTATTAAACAAAATTTCCATACAGCATCAAACCAATTTACTAAAAATGAAAAACGAAATTCTAAGAAAAATCGACAAAGGAGGGCTTCCCTAAATTCGCCGAAAAAAAAAAAATTTCAAATCTTTCTAAAAAATTATTTTCGGTTGCAGGGGTAAGTTACAATCATTATTGATGAATAGGAACACCTTCGAAATCCTAATCACTTTCGAGAAAAAAATTCGAGAAGGTATGAAATTTTTCGACAAAATTAAAAAATTTCAAATGATTCTAAAAAAATTATTTCTGGTTCCGGGGGTCGATTACAATCATTATTGGTGAATAGATATACCTCCGAATTCCTACCCATTTTCGAGAAAAAAATTCGAGTAGGAGGCCAATTTTTCGTCAAAATTAAAAAATGTCATATCGTTCTAAAAAAATTATTTTCGTTTACAGGAGTCAATTAGAATCATTTTCAGTGAATAGATATACTTCCGAAATCCTACTCAGTTTCAAGAAAAAAAATCGAGTAGATGGACAAATTTTACGCCCAAAAAAAAAAATTCCAAATCGTTCTAAAAAAATTACTTTTACCTAGGGGGTTAATTACAATCATTTTTGTTCAATACACATACCCCCGAAATCCCACGCACTTTCGAGAAAAAAATTCTTTACTGAAAATATAATAAAGAAAATCAGGCTAAAAAAGTACATTGGATAATAACATATGTATCTATACTCCAATTTTCTGCCATTGCTCCCGTCCCGAGCAATATATATATTTTTCAATTAATATTTAACCGAAGCTCGAACCGTTCAGAAGACAATGAAGAAATTAGGGTGACCGGTCACGTGGGTCACCGTGATACCGTTCATCGAACTTCCACGTCACGGATCGCGATAACGTCGCGCTATCTGCACGGATGATAAAGGTGGTAATTTGCGAAACGGCCCGTCCTCTCAGGTGGCTCGCGATACCTCGGAGTCGGCAGGTCGCAAAAGGTGCCGGCAGGCACCTGCGCCTCATGCAGATAAGGTCGAGGTGCCTCTCGGGTCAGCCCACTCGGGGTTAAGGTCGAGTTCTCTCTCCTCCCCCCATTTCTCCGCGTCTCTCTCCCTCTCGTTCTGGATTCCTCGTGCGCGTCCTTCTCCGTTCCACTCGCGGGTTCCTTCCACACCTGCGCGCACCAGAGATCCCGCAGGTAGTCCATGGGGGCGAAGGATTGAGACGTTCCCTGACGTCACCCCTCCCTCGCTCGCCTCCCACGTTACCCTCCACCGCGAAACTTTTGTCCAGCTCACCGGAAGCACGTTGCATTTCCACTTTTTGAAGCATACTGTCTTCTTGGAGCCTCACATTTTGGCTCACAGAGGAGTAGATACAGGTCATTATGTGGATACTCTAAAACTTCATTTTGTAACGTTTGTAAACAACTGTATATCAAAGTGAACCTATTCTGATTAGGTTAACACACCTTGGTATACTTTAAAGCGAAACAAACAATAAGATGACACAACTTTACCTTTTGATCCCCTTGGCACACCCAGTACCAATGCATCAACCCTGTTGAAATTGGGAAGCTTCGATCAATTTCCCCAAACTGTCATGTACCCGAGCACAGATTAGAGCTCACGGAGGACATCTGTGCGTGGTTTGGTTGCAGGTTTTCGCGAGACCGCCTTCATCTACGCCATCACGAGCGCGGCGGTGACTCACAGCATCGCGAGAGCGTGCAGCGAGGGCAGCATCCAGTCGTGTTCTTGCGACTATACCCACCAATCGCGCGCACCATCCGCGTCGCGGGACTGGGAATGGGGTGGCTGTTCGGACAACATCGGCTACGGCTTCAAGTTCTCCCGCGAGTTCGTCGATACGGGCGAGCGCGGGCGTAACCTGCGCGAGAAGATGAACCTGCACAACAACGAGGCAGGCAGAGCGGTGAGCTAACCACCATCATCGTCCTCCATCGCGATCCCGAACTCTTCCTTATTGTTTCATTTGTCTCTAGCACGTGTCATCCGAGATGAGGGAGGAGTGCAAGTGCCACGGTATGTCCGGCTCGTGCACGGTGAAGACTTGCTGGATGAGGCTGCCCAACTTCCGCGTGGTGGGTGACAACCTGAAGGACCGTTTCGACGGGGCGTCGCAAGTGATGGTCAGCAACTCGGACCGCGTACGTGGAAACGGAAACGCAATTGTCAGTAACTCAGCCAGCAACTCTGTTCACGGTCACAGAGACGGCCTGGGTCGTCGACACAGGTACAACTTCCAGCTGAAGCCCTACAACCCTGAACACAAGCCTCCAGGTCCTAAAGATCTTGTTTACTTGGAACCATCGCCGCTATTCTGCGAGAAGAACCCAAAGTTGGGGATTCTGGGCACTCATGGCAGACAGTGCAACGGTACCAGCATGGGTGTGGATGGCTGCGACTTGATGTGTTGCAGCAGGGGCTACAAGACCCAGGAGGTGACCGTCGTCGAGAGATGCGCCTGTATCTTCCACTGGTGCTGCGAGGTCAAGTGCCAGCTCTGTAGGTTCAAGAAGACTATACACACGTGCCTCTAGGTTTCTCCTTTTCCTCGAAGAGACTACCTCCTTCCTGGCGAAGGACGTGAACGTAGTCTCTCTTGGTTGTCCGAGACAAGGTGGTCCAGGTGATCCTAATAGAGGCCTCGTTCCCCAGTATTACGTCGAAAAACACGATCGATGACCATGTATGTATCCATTTACGACGTTCCACGGACGCGTATCAAAGACTGAGGTGAGCGGTTCGCGATCGTGAGCTTAGAATCTTATTAATGTAGTTAAGGAAATCCTAGTTTCGCTGTACATAATTTAACCAGAGATGGTCGACGTTCTGCGATTCGAGAATTTTTTCGATTTCCGATCAAGGGTAAATTTTTTATGCAGAATTTTGCCCATCTCTGGGCCCCAAACCCATTGATTTTTGTACCCTCCGGACTCGCCTCGCGTCGTCTTTTCCCCCCCAAACGAGCGCGAGGTACATTAGACTCGTTATTTATTCCGATCCTGAACGGATCGCGTACTTGTATATACGCATAGATTATAGCTATATAGATATGAATATACAGATGTATAAATATATATGTATATTTTTTTTTTTCGACACCCGCGTTCGTCAAACCGTCGCGATTAGGAATACTCGTTTTGTAAATAATCGACGCTCCTGTTCGCAGAGGGAGGGGGGGGGGCGGGTAAATTATTTTTTTAATGCGTCTCCGCTGCACTCCCCTCTCTGGGATGCGTACGCCCCCGATGAGCGCGGCGATGTCTAAGCTTAGGGAGATCCCCAGTGTTAGATCCTACGGCGAGAAAAAAACGGTGATTATGATTCTTGCACGCACAATACGACGGCTTGTCTGGAAGATTGTTTCTTGTAATTTATAAAGATGAATAAGAAGTGGACAAATAAAGACTTAGTCGAGTTTAACTGCTCGGTGGTTGTTTCATTTTTCCTCCCTTGGTCCCGGAATCCTGGAATTTTAGAAATAATATTAATTTGGGTAAATAAATTTTGGATGCAAATATAGGAATCGTTTTCGAAATTTTTTAATTGCAACTTCTTAGATTTATCATAAATGATGTTAGATTTATTTTTTGGGCCTTGAGGAAATAGGTAGTGACATTTTTCCAAGAAGATTCACTGAAATAATTAGCAAATTTGGGACAAACAAACATAATTTTATCAAACAAAATGGTGTCACTTATCCGGGTAAGGTACTTCTCATCCATAACTCCCACAATTTTTGAAATTTGTAAAGGAACTAATAAAATATCACGTGTGCCCGGATAACTGAAATGAAATAGTGTCACTTATCCGAGTAAGGTACTTCTCATCCATAACTCCCACAATTTTTGAAGTTTGTAAAGAAACTAATAAAATATCACGTGTACCCGGATAACTGAAATTAAATAGTGTCACTTATCCGGGTAAGGTAATTTTCGTGCAGAATTCGAGCAATTTCTTCTGTAAAAGAGCTAATAAAGATCGATAGATCGACAAAAATCCATTCGATAAGAATCGGAGAGGATTCTAAGGCCTAGCGGGAGGAGGTCGCGAGACGATTGGAGGACGAAGCGCGCACCACCGGCGGGGACCTATCCCCGCGAAATATAGCTGACTGGTTCTCCACAGCTGGACGACTTCATAACTCCTCGGCGAGGCGAATATCGTGGGAGGCCCGTGCCCCGAAGAAGACTGGTTCGACTCTTTCTCTCTTCCTCCACGTCTGGGGGCTGCCCCTTTCGCCCCCGCGGCCGTTTCCCATCGCGTTCCATCCTCCTACGTTTCTGCCTTGTTTCGTTTCACCACGGCCGCGCGCTGTGCTGCACGCGATGATAACGAACCGAGGAATCCCGCAGGAATCTCTGTACGGGATAAAAGGATTCTGACCGCATACGAACAGGCATCCGCGCTAATGGTTCCGACACTCCCGCCTCCCCCCGACCCACCCCCTTCACCGCGATTCTTTCTCCTTTTTCCACGCTCCTGTGTCCTCGTTCCTTCCCTAACGATCGGTATTTCCAGTTGTAAGCGCATTCCGCGGGTCGATCGCGACCTCGCGCCGCGCTTCGATCGATTCCCGGGGCCCCCGAAGGACGGGGGAACAGGCCCCGCCGATTCGAATCGATCCTCCGAGTCGCAACGTACGCGCGATGGAATCGGTTGGCACCAGGAAGGGTGGAAGTTCGTCCCCCGCGATACTAAAACAAATTCTTGGTGGAGCTCGGGGGCTCCCAGCGTGTCCCGGCAGACAAGAATCTCGAGCAGCCGGGCCCACTTCTCACGGCGGCGCGTTTGATCTCGTCCGACCACCCCCTCGTCTCCATCACGGTCACTCGAGCAACGGCAGCGACCACGCTCTCGCCCTCCCTCGGGAGCTTTTTACCCGCTGCTCATCCGCCCCCCCCCCACCCTCTCCTTCCCCCGGACGCGTCGACAGGACTGGTCCCGGAGAATCACCGAGAGATATGCCGCGGGGACCAACCCGTGAATTCATTCAGTTTTACTATTATTACGCATACCGTCACGCGTCCAGCTCGTTCCACGCTACGGAATGTTACACGGACGCTGGACCGTCCCGAGGGAGCCTGCCACTCGAGTGTCTGGGCCCCCGAGCTCCACGACGATCTCTCGCGTTAAGTCTCGACTTTTATTGCCGCCATGTAGGGCCCCAAAAATTAATCCGGGGTAAAAATCGGTACCACAAAGGAAAACTGCGTACTTTCTTGGTCCTAGCACTTTCTTCCATCGGAGAATACTTTGGGACTATGATATGGTGTATTAGAAGTCTATAGTTGGACCATCTTAACGATTTATATAGTCCATACTTCTTAGCTTGCATTGGTTTTAACCTGAACCTACGAATTTCTTTCAGAATCTTTACAAGGGAAGTATAACATATTCTGTAAGTTTTTAGCCTATAAGTCCTATAGTCTAGTCCATAATTTATAGTCTATTCCATAGTATTTCTATAAATCTAGTTCTATGAGGCTAGTGCCACAAGTCTATACGTCTATCCTATAGTCTAGACTATAAATCTAGTTTTATAAGCCTAGTTTTTTAAGCCTATAAGTCTATACAGTTGCACCACCTTACCAATGTATAGTCTACACTTCTTAGCTTCCTGCATTGGTATCAACCTGAAGCCACAACTTTCTTTTGGAATTTTTTGCAAAGGAACTACAAGACTTTTTGCAGTCAAATTTACAGAGTTTACTCACACACGGTTGACTGATATTCCAAAATTTTTTGGGCCCAAAATAGTCAAAATTGATAGCACCACATCCCTTCAAACTCAGTCCCTTTTAACCAAGCTTCTTCCTACTCATCTAACACATCATTCTGAACATTGCAAAATAATTTCACTATAAAAACCTCGTAGAGAAGATTGCAAAGACCACTTCTAAAGCTACCAATATAAAAAATATCGTTAAGAAGATTATAAAGTTACCAAACGATCGGTGCAATTGAAGTCGTGGATCCAGGACGTTCGCGACCTTTCGATTCAATGGGGAGCACAGGGGAGTAGGGAGGGGGGCTGTCAGGATGAGGAACACGGTTTAATGCGAGGACGGGCAGCGGCGTTTCGGGAAAAAGGGACCGGGGAACGGACGGGGCCCGATGGACGAGGTGTTCTCTCACGGTCTCGCGAGAGGATTCGTCTTCTTCGAGGGGGCACGCATCTGGGCTCATTATGCCCGACGAATACGAAATTCAGTCCACGAGGTTGACAATCGGGGGCCCCCGGGAGACAGGGGCTCGCGTCACTCGGTGAACAGGGCCCCATCAGGGATGCCACGCGCGTGTGATCGGCCGCGACGCGCCGCGTGCCGTTTCGCCCGCCTTCCTGCCCCGATTTTATCGTTCCTACCGACTTCTCCTAACCCTTAAAGTTTACTTCGTTTCGCCATTTCACCTTCCTTGTCCCCCTTTCCACCTACGAAAGCTCCTGCACGTTGCAGTTACTCTCTTTAAGCTAGCAATTTTTACTTTGTGGGTCTATGGTTACGCCATGTTAACCATTTATACAGTCTGCACTTCTTAGCTTCTTACATTGGGTTCAACTGAACATACAAATTCGTTGCTGAGGAACTATAACACCTAGGAATCTATAGGTGTAGCTTCTTAAGGATTTATGTAGTCTACACTTCTTAGCTTTCATTGGTTTGAATTGATGCTACTAATTTCTTGCAAAGGAAGTATGACACCTTCTGGAAGTCTATAGCTACACCATCTTAACGACTTATAGTCTACAATTCTTAGCTTCTTCTATTGATTTTAACCTCAAGCTGCAAACTTTCAGAATTATTTGCAAAGGAACTATAAGAGCTTCTATAAATCTATAGCTACACCATCTTAACGACTTATAGTCTACACTTCTTAGCTTCTTACATTGGATTCAACTGAAGCTACAAATTCCTTGCAGAGGAACTGTAACACCTTCTCTGAATCTATAGTTGTATCTTCTTAAGGATTTATGTAGTCTACACTTCTTAGCTTTCATTGGTTTGAATTGATGCTACTAATTTCTTGCAAAGGAAGTATGACACCTTCTGGAAGTCTATAGCTACACCATCTTAACGACTTATAGTCTACAATTCTTAACTTCTTCTATTGATTTTAGCCTCAAGTTACAAACTTTCAGAACTATTTGCAAATGAACTATAACACCCTCTATAAGTCTATAGCTACACCATCTTAACGATACACTTCTTGTACAATTTTCACCTAAAACTGAACTAAATAACGTGTAGATTGATATTACTCTTGAGTTGTAATGAATATAAAGCTGCGATTGGAAGGTAAAAAACAGCTATTTTCGTCTGGGGGAATAAACATAGTGTTCGAGGAGGAAGTAAAGGCCACCCAACACACCGAACCCTCAAGCTAACCCTAATTTCCGAAGCTAGTGGTTACGATTGAAAATAAAATTATAACTATTCAGGGAAGAGGAAACTTCCCGAACGAAATGAGCAGAGATCTCGCGTGTGATCTTTTATTAAACGACGTTTTGGGCCCCTTCAGGTATTAACTAAATGAT